GCTCAATCTATAAGTCCTTCGCAAACAATCTTCCTCCCATAATGAACAAGAGTTTCATATATATTCAATCTTGGAGAATGTTTACAACATGATGAGTGATAATGGATCCTGCTGTTATATCATAATATCAGCCATTTTCCTTCAGAAGTAAGGATAATAATATCTCAGATAGCATTACCTAAAAGGTCTGAGTTGAGCCATGCTGAAATTCTTCTTTCATGATGCTAAATCTAGCGTCTTTGTGCTGGAAACGGAAGGTTTCCACCTACAGTATGTGTTCACTCAGCGGTGAATAGCAGCTTTTCTTTGCCCTCGCTTTCTTTTTTTTTCTCTCTCTTCCCCGGTGTCTGTCTCTTTAGCAGCGTCACTCTCTTCCTCCCTCTCTCTGTTTGGATGCCCTGCTGCCGTGCTCTTTCTTCCCTCACTCTGGTCTTTCATATATAATGCATGTTAAACAAACAGACATGTCAGAGTCACTCAAATGCATGACTGTCCCTTCGCTGCTGCTCCATCCACCTTGAGAGCGGGAGGGTCAAGTCTCAAAGGCCTCTGTGCGCAGGCGAGGCCCGGCTGAACCACGAACCACAGTCAGCCGCATCAAAAACAAACTGTACATTCTGCAGAGGGGGGGGAGGAATCAATTTTTACTGCTATACCGCAGTCTATTTATACAAAAATCTTTAAGGTGAAACCTATTTCATCACATGAAGTCATACAAGTGTGGAGCTTTGGTGCACCCTCATCACAAACGTGGGCTCATGTCTGAGTTTCAAGCAAACATAACGAAAGAGTGGCGTCTGCAGCTATTTGTAAAATTATTCAAGAGTGTTTTTGTGCATGTTTGTGTCTTTGTATAAACATAAAAGCCTTGATTTGCTTCCTGTCAAAAAGTGTACAAAGCAATATTTGATCCACACAAATGTAGACCCAACTCCATTTTGTCCCTCGAGGGTTCAGAGTGCTAAAGACTGTCAGCAAGAGCGATTTCCCTCGTCAGTTACTTTACATGTAAATCTAATTTCTCTGTTAAGGCATGGAGGGGATAAGCTGCTGCGCCGGCTCACTCTTGAATTGTATACATGCATAAATAAACACACACACATACACACTCTGATCTACAAAATCCCAATTTTCCAGGTGCAGAGGTCTGTAGAATAGAGCCAGAGCCACTCATACAGAAACTGCATTATTCTCCATCAGCAGTGTAGAGAGTCTGAGCTATTATACCATCCACCACTAGCGTGCACATACAAGTGGAGTTTGCCACTTGACAGAGAGCGCGATGGGGCCTGAAAAGCACAAGGGTATGAGTGGGATCATGCTTGATCAGCGGCAAAGTAAGTTCATTGTCATTTGCCATACAGAATATGCTCCACTTGTGCTGCAGTAATATAATGCAAAATAACTAACGGCACAATTCACAAACACATTATACAGCACTTGGAGTTGAAAGCTCCCAGGATGTCAACATGTGCATATTTTTCCTACATCACTAGATCACTGCGTTTCAGCTCTGCGTAAATCTTCAGCAATGTATCTTCTCAAGATCAAGACTGAATATGATTCAAATTTATAGCATAATAAGGTTATTAGAAGTACAGCAAGGTGGATGAATTATGCATTCCTCTCTTACACAGCAGTCTCACCTGGGTGGTAAGAATAAATAACAGGAATAAATGATGATTCGCTCGACTCTTTCCACCCACTGTAGGCAAAGAGAAAGCTGGATTTATTCAGACAGCTAATACACACAGTGACTCAGAGTGTACACTGTGTGTGGATGAAATGGGCTCGAGAGGCTTTTCGTCTCACACAAACCAAATATCTGTCCAGGAATAAGATATTGATTTGTCATTTCCCAGAGCTGAAGCTTAGTAAACAAGCTAAGCAGGCGTGTGACCGGCGGTTCCTGATAATTGTTGTCCGGTAACAGTAGGAGGCCTTTCCTCTGAAATGACGCACGACCCTTAAATGTACTGTAAGATCATAAATTATTCATGTTCCCTCGCATGTACCTGTAAATACACACGCGTTAGATAAAAACACAAACGTCTTTTATTTGGTATTCATGCAGTGAGTCTTCTCTGCTCAACCGAAAACAATCAAATATTTATTCATATGTTTACAGCATTCTATTTCTGCAGTATGAACAACAACAGATTTCTCAGCGTAAACATGAATGTTTGAGCTTCTTGTTCTGAGGAACAAGTGCCCAGGCGGAGATGCCGTTTAGTTTACAGTTTAAAAAACTCATTGAATAAGAGCAGCAGTGAGTGTTTGTTTCCAGGGTGAGGAATTTGAGGTCATTTCAGACATACAGAATTACACATACAATTATTCTCTTCTTTTCTCTTGTTGTTTCTGTATTGTGGTTTTATACAAAATGCTGTATCATATTGTAATCTGGGCTGCAAGGTGGCGCAGTTGGTAGCACTGTTGCCTCGCAGCAAGAAGGTTGCCGGTTTGCGTCCCGGTGGGGGCACCGGAATCTTTCTGCGTGGAGTTTGCATGTTCTCCCCGTGCAGCGTGGGTTCTCTCCGGGTTCTCCGGCTTCCTCCCACACAGTCCAAAAACATGTTGAGGTTAACTGGTGATTCTAAATTGTCCGGAGGTGTGAATGTGAGTGTGCTTGGTTGTCTGTCTCTAAGTGTAGCCCTGTGATAGACTGGTGACCTGTCCAGGGTGTCCCCTGCCTTCGCCCTAAGTCGGCTGGGATAGGCTCCATCCCCCCCGCGACCCTAGTGAGGATTAAGCGGTGTATAGAAAATGGATGGATATTGTAATTTTTATTTACTTTGAGTTCTGTTACTTCCTAATATTGTATAGTTAAAGTTTGAGGTGTGTGGCATGTTCTTCCACCGTCTGAGGTCAGGTCATGGTGGCAGCAGGGCAACCAGGTCATTCCACTTGTCAAGTCAAGTCCATTTTATTTGTATATTGCAGTTTACAACATGTGCCATCTCACAGTGCTTAAAATACTAAGGTATAGGCCTTACAAATTTAAACAGAGAATCCAACAATCCAAAGCTGCCTTTGGATTCCCTCTGAGGAAGCAGTTGGTAACGGTGGGAACCACAGTAGTGCTTTCCAGTTCCTCCTGGATCCCAGGGTGTTTCCAGGACAATGGGGATATGTAATCCCCAGTAAGTTCTGGGTTTACCCTGGGGTCTCCTCCCAGTTGAGCATCCCTGGAAAACCTCCAAATGAAGACCATCCAGAAGGCATCCTCATCAGTTGCGCAAACCACCTCAGCTGGTTCATTTCGTCATGAAGATGCAGCGACTCGACTCCGAGCTTCCTCCGACTCATCTCAGCTGCTTATATCTGTAACCTCATTCCTGTGGTCGCTACCCAGAACTCATGACCATAGATCAGGTTTGGAACATAGATTGACTGGTAAATTGAAAGTTTTGCCCTCTGGCTCAGCTCCCTCTTCACCACAACAGTCTGGTTGCATTACTGCTGCCGCTGCCCCAGTCTGTCTGTCCATCTCATGCTGCATTTTCCCAATCAGTCACAAGTGAAGAAGATCCCAAGATACCTAAGAACCTTCAACTCACTGCCAACCCAGAGAGAGCAGTTCGCTAGTTTTGTACTTGTAGATGCTGAGTCTCATTCTGGCTGCTTCACACTCGGCTGCAAACAGCTCCGGTGCACACGGAAGGTCACAGCCTGATGAAGCCAACAGAACCACATCATCCACAAAAAGCAAAGCTGCGACTCCGAGTTTCCAAAACTGGACACCTGACTCACCTCAGCTGCCCCTTGAGATCCCATAACAGAATCAGAGACAAGGGGCAGCCAACAGCCACGAAAGGTGTTTGACTTGAGGATACGAATAGAGCTCCCACTTTGGTAGAACACTCGAAACAACTGCCACAGTACCCCTTAATACCCCACAATACCCCCTACAGGATCATAGGCCTTCTGGAACTACACAAAACACATTTAGACTGGAAGGTAAAACTGTCATAACCCACTCAGCAACTCCAGAAGGATAAACAGCTGATCCACTGGTCCACAGCCAGAACAGAATCCACATTTCTCCTCCTGAATTAGTCGCATTGGTCATTCTTTCCTGTACTCTGGAATAAACTGTACCTCTGTGTATCAGAGTTACATATTTAGACAACTGTAGCTGTACGCCATTGCATCTTCTGGAAGGTGCAGATCTATAAAGGTCTCACTTCTGTCTATCTACACTGAATACTTCACATTAAATGTTTTGATATGTTTTTATGAACACTGCATGTTCTATTCATAGTACAGTATATATGGAATGAATGGTGTGCTGCTGTAACATGAATTCCAAAATAAAGTCTTACATTTCCTTCTTTATTTTCATTTCACTTTATGGATGATTTTTTTGTTTTGTTTTTCGTAAATAAAAGATCTCCCAGTAGTTCTCTCATTACTTGGTGTAATGTGTGAACAGTTCCAGCAGATGCCACCAAATCCTCACAAGCTCAGGCAGCTGACTGCAGTTCAACCATCCACCCACTGGATGGAAGTAAACACAAGTGATCGATGAAGGAGGCAAAGAAGAAAAAGCAGCCGGGGAAAAATGAAAGTCTGATGATCCAGAGTCCAACAGAGGAGCTGTCTTTGGTTTGTCTGGGGGGCAAAGGAACCACTTCTTTTACTCCCTCTCTTACGGTAAGTGGTAAGAACATAATGGAGATGCTCTGATGTTGTTGTGGGTGTGAGACTAGTCTGCTGTCGTGGATGCTGAAACACGGCAGGAAACGAGGAAGTCCAAACATCAAGGGGCTGCAGAATGTAGGATAAAGCCTTAGCTGTCTGTGTAACAAAACAAGAAAACACTACATGCATGTCTGTGTTTATGTTTCTCACGTGCTGTTGTAAACAACGCGTCCCCACTAATACTCCAAGCAGCATCGCAGCACTTACTGGAACCAGTTTGCAGATCAGGGAGTTTGTTGACTTGCTGTAGAGTCATAATGAACACCAGCAGGTCTGTGTTTGAATCTAAACTGAATGAAAATATCAGCGCAGCTTGCAAACGGTTACAAGTCCCACCACGTTGTATTCTGCATGTTTAATGCCACTAGGTGGAGCTCTCACAGACAAACAGTGACTGAGGCAGCATCATAGTCCAGAAATCCCACCTGATGGAGCCACACTCAGAGTGAATCCTGATTTTCATGTATTTTTGGCAGAGTGGCTGACATCCCAAGTGTAAAAATGGCTGCAAAATTAAAGCACTTCTGCTTATTCTTTAGGTAGCTTTAGTCATCTTTGAGCATATTTCCTATTGGTCATTCACTGGAGCAGTGGAGAGACTTGGTGCAGTCTCCTGTGAGGATATTGTCATCTCTGCAGCCTCCCAGGAGCTCGTTTCATTGGTGAAGAACTGTGCAGATTTTGTGCTGGGCAAAAAAAAAACCATCACAATCAAAAATACTTAATTGATCCCTGAGGGGAAACTGCTTGCATTACAGTTGCTCCCAATCAAGTCTTAGAAATTTAAGCAGTAGAAAAAAAATATAGGATAAAAATATGTCCTTCATCCATCCATTATTTATACACCACTTAATCCTCACTAGGGTCACGGGAGGCTGGAGTCTATCCCAGCTGACTCAGGGCGAAGGCAGGAGACACCCTGGACAGGTAACCAGTCTATCACAGGGCTACACTTAGAGACAGACAACCAAGCACACTCACATTCACACCTACGGACAATTTAGAATCACCAATTAACCTCAACATGTTTTTGGACTGTGTGGGAGGAAGCTGGAGAACGCAGAGAGAACCCACGCTGCACGGGGAGAACATGCAAACTCCACGCAGAAAGATCCCGGGTGTCCTCACCGGGATGTGAACCGGCAACCTTCTTGCTGCGAGGCAACAGTGCAAACCACTGCTCCATATAATATAATAATTGTCATGTTACTTCAGTAGAGTCTGCTGGATAATCTATAACACATTTGTGTGTTACTAAAGTGTTTTGAAAATAATGCAAAAAAAAAAAAACATTTAGGACTTCAACTCATAAGTTGTATTTTGAGTCATATCACAACCTCTATAAGTCAAAGTGGCCCAAAGTGAGTTTATGTAACAACAATGTGGTCATTAGACATTTATTGGGCAAAGAACTAAACTTTAACAATGTATTAGATACATGTTTATCAGATTATTTTATCTGTGTATGCATTAGGAGAATTTATCTTTTTGTTTGTTCGTTATTTTCAGGAGCTGATTCAAGCTTCCTTCAGTCATGGCGGAGGAACCCGCAGCAGAAATCCAGTTACTCAGAAGGCAGAAGACAAAGCTCATAGAAATTCTGAGTGCGGATGCTGACTTCGTACTGCAGCACGCGGATGCTGGCTGCTTGCTCTCTCTTCACGGCTACCAGCAGGTGAAATCTTGTCGTGTTCCGAGTAAAAAGGTGACGGAACTTTTGGATCTTATCATTCAAAGAGGTCCCGATGCAGCACGAGGATTGCTGCAACTCCTGAAGGGCCAGGCTATGCAGGAAACCTTCCCAATGCTTTGTTTTATTAACGATCTGCAGCTCAACACACTGTCTTCAGGTAGAGCAAAGTTAGTTCAACGCTTCCTCAGCAATTTTATCATTAGACACTGTTGGATTTCTTTCTAACGTATAAACGTTTCCTTTTCTTTTACAACTGAAAATAGAAATACCAGGAAATAGACAACAAGGTGATGAGTTAAAGGAAATAATCCCAGCAAAAAAAATCTGCAAAAAGGGTAAGTCACACTCTGCTTATGTTCAATCCACTGAAAACGCTTACAGGACGCCACCGTAATCATCCGTCTCATCGTTCAGGCCCCAGCTTAGTGAACGAGAAGCAGCTGATGACTGTGGCTCGTGCTATTGGCAGATCTTGGAGGGAGATCGGCCGAATGGCTCTAAACATCTCGTCTGTGAAGCTGGAGCAGATCGAAGAGGATCATTCGCCGCATGTGGAGCGAGTGTTCGCCATGCTGCGTTACTGGCGAACGTGCCAGAGGGAGGAAGCCACTGCTGCTCACCTGCACTCCCTCCTCAGTCAGGACGACTGGGCGCTGCCGCCCGAAAGCATCGACTGTCTGTTGGAGACCGACTGAGGCCTTCGCTGTCTGAGACTGAAAATTCTCACCAGGAATTATTGTTTCTCACCATAAAGACTCATTTTATATCAGGAGAGAAACAGCACTGAGATTTTACAACTTGATGAAATTACCCCACAGTGGGGTAACATTTCCACCGCTGAGCAAGAGACCTTTGTTCACCTTAAACCTTTTATATGATGGTGCAGCTGTCATAGAGAAATAGTAAATGATTTATTTTATTCTATTTCTTTTTAAGAGGTGCTGTTAAGAGTGACTGTGGTGTTATTTTTATTCTCCTTTTAGAAATTACACACACAATGAAGCAGCGCTCAGTTCATTGTAGTGTGTTCAGGGCATTTAAGGAGGCAAATAAAATCATATTTCTCTCTTTATGTTTTGTGTAAAGTTTTACTCAACTCATTTTATTAAAGGTTGAGTTTGTCGGGGGGGAAGCAGGTAATTTCCTCAGAAGGATAATCAGGAGTCGCAACAATTGGATGTTCCTCAGATGTCTTGTAGATGAAATGTACCTTACATCATGGTGTGTTTAAAGTTACAACCTAAGCGTCTGTTGAAATAGCATTGTCATGTAAATGAGGGCAGACAGATATCACACACTGAATTATTTCATTTGATCAAAGGAATTTTGTTCTCTGAAAATTTTCTCGCACAAGTTAATTTGACGCTCTCGGTTGTGAAGCGATGAAAGTCGTTTAATGAAATGCACAACGCCTTGTTTTATTCATGAGAAATTCACGCCTGACTTGGTAAAAGGAATGATCTCTTTATGTTAGTGACAGAAACTCATAAATCAGAAGTTGCTGCGTGTCTACTATTGTTTCTCAATTGGCTTCCCTCATCTCAGAGAGCATTAGATAACTTATTCCGGGGCAAAGGTCGGCCGCCTCCCTCTGCTGCAACACCTTACTGTTGCTTTAAAGCCATTTTCTGCAGGCAGGCTGTCAGCAGACCTAAATAAAACAGCAGAGACTGTGAAGCTTTTTAAAACTTGAACATGGCAGACGAGTCTCCACTCTCATGTAAGTACAGTGCGCTATCACTGTCTATTTTAGATTGCAACTCTTTACTTTTGCAACTGTTTGTTAATGTGTTTAACTGTGATATGTTACAGCTGAACAGTTTCTGGGACGGACTAATGAGCGTGACCTGAATGAGCCTCTTACTGACCATGCAGAGGGGCAGCTTTTCTTGACTGAAGCCTTCAAAATTATTGTGGACGAGGTGCTCCGCAAGGGCACAGATGTGAAACACAAGGTCTGTCATGAAGCACAGAGTGGCTCAGATTACAGCAAGTGCTCCTGATAAAACTCACAATCCTTGTTTTCTTTGTGCAGGTTTGCGAGTGGAAAGAGCCCGAGGAGTTGGCACGGCTGCTGGATCTGGAGCTGAGAGAAACAGGGGAGCCGCAACAAAAGCTCCTGCAGAGAGTCAGAGATGTGGCCAAGTACAGCGTTAAGACAAGTAAGGCTGGCAAAAACAACCCACCCAGTTAAACAGGCTGACTCTTATTCCCCTTTTGATGAGATTTTTTTTATTGTTAATTTCAGGTCACCCACGATTTTTTAATCAGCAGTTTGCCGGGATGGACTATTATTCCTTGGCTGGACGATACCTCACTGAAACGCTCAACACCAACCTGTAAGAAATGAAAATAAAACAGTGAAGTACATAGAGAACCCTTTTAAATGATATTGTGACTGTGTTAGCAAGTAATGGAAGAAATATTCATCCTGCATTCAGTGAGTAAAAGTAAAGAAGCAGTTGAATGTAGTCAAATAGCATCAGAAGTATTTGCTAAACTGATTGGCTCCTTTATAGTGTGTTCTGCTATTATATATTTTATGTCATTGGATTATCAGATTTCTTATATACACAAAGAATGACAATGCTGATGCTTAAGGTGGAGGTGATTTTAGATGTTTTATATACTGCTGTGTTATTTCATTGAAAACAATGCATCAGTTACTTTATGTAGATGAATAAATGTGAACCTGGAAAGTAACAAGCCACTGTATGGTTGTCCTCAAATGTATTCATATCCTCCCATTAAAGAAGAAAAAACAGCTGTCACTGAAATAAGTTGGAATTGACAAAAGTAATAAAATAAATAAAAATTTAATGAAAGTCATGACATTGCTTTTGAATTGTGGTTCAACAGAAATATTTTTTTGGGGGAAAAAAAAGCAAACATCAAGATAGGACCCATAAACTAATATTTTGTTGAACAACCCTTTGAGCCAATCACTGCAATCAAGTGTTTTCTGTAACTCTCAATCAGACTTCTTCACCTGTTGACAGGTATTCTGGCCCACTGCTCATCAGCAAAGTGCTCTCATTTGTCTGGGACATTTGTTTGTTTTTAATTATTCTTTTCACCCACAATACAAAAGCAATGTCTTATTTCACTTAATTATAATTTAGCAAATTTTTTATTCATTATTACTTTTTTTCAGTTTCTAGTTATTTGAGTGACTATTGTGAACTTTGCCTTTTTCTTTAATGGAAGGATATGAATACATTTGAGGACGACTGTAGGTGTCCAATAAATCAATGGAGTGAAGGTATAAAGTAGCAGAAATTTAAAACATTCAAGTAAATGCTTGAGTATCTTCAACTCTGTTCATTTTTGAATGTGTAAGTAAATAAATAAAGTTTTTTAAATTCATTCTTCATCCCTCTATATCAGAATTCACACAGCGCTTCACAGTGAAAGATAAGAGAAAGACGCCTCAGATAGAGTTGCATTACATGAATTACAACATACAAAATTATCATTTTGTGTGTCAATTGCAGCTTCACCTATGAGGTCGCCCCGGTCTTTGTGCTGATGGAGACTGAGGTTCTGAGAGGGTTGCGGCAGCTGGTGGGCTGGACAGAAGGCGACGGTATTTTCTGCCCCGGGGGATCTGCCTCTAACATGTACGCCATGAACCTCGCACGCTACCGACTGTTCCCAGAGGCCAAAAGCCAGGGGCTGTATGGTCTCCCACGACTCGCTGTCTTCACATCTCCAGAGGTCAGGGCGGCTGTTCACACTGTTGAGTGGAGTGAGACTTTATGAGCGGTGGTCAGTGAATATGTTCGATACATGTCACTCAAAGATGCATCCTTGTGTGTGGGTGTTTTTTTCCCCCCCAGAGCCATTACTCTGTGAAGAAAGGGGCTGCATTTCTGGGCATTGGAATGGACAATGTGATCTTGGTGAAAGTCGATGATGGGTAATTGATTATTTATTATAACAGCTGAAGCTACTTAATAAAATATGAAGAAACCGTAGACCGCTGAAATCATTTATCAAGCAAAAGTGCCAGAAATTCTCTCGATCAACCGCACTCTCCTCAGTTTTATATAGTGGTAAAATTGAATACCTTTGAGTTTTAGACTGTTGATCAGATAAAACAAAAATATTTGTTGGTTACAGCCTCATTTACAATTGCTCTTGAGATTCTATAGACTCAAAAGGCCATAAGAGACATAGAGTATTTAACTTTGCTGCTTCATCCTTCTGTTAAAGCGGTGACATTCTCTCATTCAGACATACTGTGGGCCACTTTTGCAGTAATGGCTTGATTCAGGCAAATCCTCAACAGTGACAGAGAGCCACGTTGATATTTGTCATACACGTCATTTTAAAGTGTACGTCAGGTGATGCATAATAATACACAAATAAACAAAACATCAAATCTAAACTAACAGGAGGTAGCCTATTTAATACATTTAGACACCTACAGACAGCTGGAAGCAACAAACTAATCTTTAACTTCTGTTAGAACCTGGGTTCCATTCATTACTGGTGAGTCTCATATAGCTGACCTGCTCTGTCTTCATTACAGTAAGTTTTTATCTTTATGGACATTTTTGTTTCATAATAGATGTGAAATTGTTGTGCAAAGTGAATAAGAAAGGTGGCTTGCGATTTCGACAGACACACTGTATCTGGGGCTGTCTAGGATGTTTTTGGATCAATATTGGATGTGAAATGAAAAAGCCTTCCCGAAATTGCTTCACAGAACTCGAAGTTTGTCACTATTGCGTGACCAGGGTGCTCATTCAGACATAAAGCCGACATGTTCGGATGCCGACGTATTAACGTAAAGGGTGCATGTCCAAAAGGGGCTAAAATAATGTCTTAATTTCTTGCCTTTGTCTTTGCTTTCTCATGTGCTGCAGAGGCCATATGATTCCAGAGGACCTGGATGAAAAAATAGAACTCACCAAATCTCAGGTAAATTCATTGATGTTTAGTGTGACCTCAAAAGTAACATGTTTCACATCATCCATCCATCATCTATACACCACTTAATCCTCACTCGGGTCATGGGGGGCTGGAGTCTATCCCAGCTGACTTAGGGTGAAGGCAGGGGACACCCTGGACAGGTCACCAGTCTATCACAGGGCTACACTTAGAGACAGACAACCAAGCACACTCACATTCACACCTACGGACAATTTAGAATCACCAATTAACCTCAACATGTTTTTGGACTGTGTGGGAGGAAGCTGTAGAACCCGGAGAGAACCCACACTGCACGGGGAGAACATGCAAACTCAACGCCGAAAGATTCCAGTGCCCCCACGCGAACCGGCGACCTTCTTGCTGCGAGGCAACAGTGCTACCAACTGTGCCACCCTGCAGCCCATGTTGCACATCAGATTTATTTAATTAGCTATGTCCCGAGCACATTTGTTTATCTTTTCAACCTGAAAATACCAAATGAAAGGAAACTGTGGTCACCTTCAGTTTGTTTCTTTCAGGGTGCTGTACCGTTCCTTGTAAGCTGCACATCAGGGACCACAGTACAGGGAGCTTTTGACCCATTGGATCGCATCGCTGATGTTTGTGACAAACACAAGCTGTGGATGCACATCGACGTGAGTCTTCCGCCGGATGACTTATCTGTGTTGACAAGTCTCGGTTTAGTGAAGCTTGTGTTGTATTTGTTAAAAGTTAAAAACATGCAGTGTTTTGACGGTTTTGTCGTTTGTTCCAGGCTGCCTGGGGCGGGAGTGTGCTCTTTTCCAAGCAACACAGACATCTGATGAAAGGAGCTGACAGGTATTAATATGCATACCAGAAAGACAACATTTAGCCTGTACATGAGTAGAGCTACAAAGTTGGTCAGATGAGCGACACTGTGTGTGCTTGTGTGTTTCTGTGATTAACAAGAGCAAATTCAGTCGCCTGGAATCCACACAAGATGCTGGTGGCCGGCCTGCAGTGTTCTGCCTTGCTGCTAAAGGACACCACGGTTTGGCTTCACAGTTTAAACCTATAAAATTATAAATCAGAATAGTGTTTTTTGAAGGGGGGGGGGTTATTAAACAGGTTTGTGTTTTCTTTGACAATCCTCTTGTGTCCCTCAGAACTTGTTGAAGCACTGCCACAGCACTAGAGCGACATACCTCTTCCAGCAAGACAAATTCTACGATGTGAATCTGGACATTGGAGATAAGTCCTTGCAGTGCAGCCGCAAGGTGGATTGTCTGAAGTTGTGGTTGATGTGGAAAGCTGTCGGCTCCGCTGGCTTGGCAGAGCGCGTAGACAAAGCTTTTGTCCATGTGAGGTAAATAAGGCATGCAGCTGTACCACATGTCAAGTAGTAAAATCAAACTTGTCTCATCCTCAGAGGGCATAACTTAGAATCCCTGCTGTTATATTTTATGTGTCAAACTAATTTAATGCTTGTCAGCGACTTAGTGGTTTACATATTGAAGAAAATATGTGAAAAAAAAGACAGATAATTTGCGTTTGTCTTGCTTAGCAGGTTAAGACCCTTGAGAGGGATCTGCTCTTCAGTTTCACAGTGAATCCTAATCTAACTAATACAGCAGGACAATTATCATGAAAATGTCCACTTTTCTTGAATAAATAACACCAACATGGTTAACATTTTTTGGTAAATGAGACTTATACTGGAGCTCTGTCCCAGGCTAACAGAATGTGAAAACTTGTAGGTATCTGGTGGAGCAGATGAAGAAAAGAGATGGGTTCCATCTTTTGGGCGAGGTATGTTAAAATCTACAGTATAAAGCATAAATGTTATTCCCCACAAAATCTGAATTATGACATGTATATATTTGGTTCCATGGACAGCCAGAGTTTGTGAACGTATGCTTTTGGTTTATACCACCAAGTCTGAGAGGGAAGGAAGGAAATGCAGATTATCAGGAGAAACTGGCAAAAGTAAGTTTCCATGGACTGAGTAAAGAATAAAGTCTCCTTATTTAAAGTGTTTTAATGCCTTCTTGCTGTATTCAGATGCATCTATCTTATCAATCTTAAAGTTAACGCTATATGTATGTTTGTGTTTTTTTCTACTGTCTAAAGGTAGCGCCAACCATCAAGGAACGTATGATGAAACAAGGCACGATGATGGTGGGCTACCAACCTCTGGGAAACAAGGTCAACTTTTTCCGTGTGATTGCTTTTTCTCCCCTCATTTCCCAGAAAGACCTGGATTTCTTCCTCAATGAAATTGAAAGACTAGGAAATGATCTGTGACTTTAACGCCGCTTTCAGACAGAACCACCGTGTTCATCTAGAATTCGAGTTCATGTGCACAGCCAGGCATTGTATATTCACAAGTTAGAACAGGCAAACCTCACTGTAGCAATTTAGATAATTTGCTGGATCCAAACAGCTGCCGCAATGTACCAAGGGATAAAATTAATGAATTAAAAAAATAATATCGATATGATCTGAGTTCTTCATAAATGTCAATTGTGGAAAAGTAAACATTTTAAATACCTGTAAATAACTTGAATAACTTTTTTGTAAAGAGTGTAAAAAATTATCAATTGAGTGAATGTCCATGCAGGTCATTTTAACGATGTGTTTCCATGAGTGAAAATCATACCAATAAAATATACCGATGATATATTCATGTAGGAAAAGTCCATATTGTGACACGCTTGGTGATAAGTAGGAGATGTGTGCAAAAAACGCAATTGTTTTTTAAAGATTTGATTGCTGGCATGGCGCTACATTGAAGAAGATAGTACAAACGTTGTAGAAACATCCAATGCTTATTGTTTGTACTGGTACAGATACATATTGTATGTTAATGCTGTTTGTTAGTCATTTACACATTACACCCATGTATACAATGTTGGGTCATTATCATGCAATGCATCCTAACTTGCCTTGATGTAGATTAATCCATGATACTATCTGAATAGCTGTGTATTATTATTATTATTATTATTATTATTATTATTCAACTAGTTGTTGAGGCTCCACATAACTCACACATTCGTACTGGCACCAACACTACCTCACAGTTATGGCCGCCAATGTGGGTCAGTCCGCTTCAGTCACGTGGTTGGGCGCATGACCAATGAGGGCTCTCCCCGGGGAGTACTTCCGGTGGTGTTTCCTGTCAGTGTTTGTAAACTGAGAAAAAATTGGAAGTGCGACAAGAATTAATAATCTTCAACACTCTGAAAATCGAAAGGTAAGCTATCACGCTTGCAACACATCTCACTCGCGGTCCTTAAAGGGTTTTGTAGTCCGTTACTCGCCCGTTTCGAGCAGCTGTGGCCGGTGAGGGAGGTGTTATTTGAGGTCGGCGCTGAGCCCGAAAGCCCTGCCTGGCTGTTGTGTTGTCTGGGGCGGGGGGTGGGGGCTCAGTCGGACAAGAGTTGTCCCAAAACCCCAACTCCTGGCTAGCTAGCTGGTTTCTGTTTGCTGTTTCATTCAGCGGAGACTCTCGCAATGTTTCACACTTTTTGCATGCATTCCTAAATACAAGCAAACTGGCTTTGCAGGTTCATGTGGTCCCAGTGGATCACCAAAGCTCACTTGTCCATGGATTTTCTGTTGCCCAATGAGGTATCTAGCGCCTAAAGGATACGTTGCTAGCTAGCACAGTAATGCACAGATCATGCGTGTTTGACCACGATTGATTCACCTCGCAAATATATTTCAAATTTAAGATTGAATACAAACTCGTTGCTCTCAATTCATGAGTGTTTGTCTGTATTGTTTAAAGGCTGTATGCATGCAGCCCACCCGATGTTAACATAATAGTTCTCTCATAAGACTGCAAAAATCATGCTGCTTCTTACTGGATATTCTACATTTTGCATGGTGATAATATGCAGATATGCCCTTCTGCGAGGTGATTATTTGTTGTTGGTTTATATACCAAATCATTTGCAATTTTGTATGTTACCTTTTGTCTTTAACATTTCTGATATCTGTAAGGACAACCTGATACTGGCTCTTTTTAGTCTTATGCATGAACTGAATCCCACAGCACAAGACAAAGCTCTTGGCACTGTAGTATCAAGTGCATTTACTTTCACATTAGTTGCCTGGTTTTGATCAAATTTCAAAAATGATGTTTACATGGATCACAGGAACTTGGTTGTTCATATCCATGATCATAGCAATATCCAGATTTCTGACTATTTGTGTGCAGGCATCCTGATATTTTAACATCTCAGGGTCTTATTCCTGTATCGACTGAGTTATCTCAAAAATTAATTAGCATAGTTTGGTTTCTGGCTGTTTGACCTGTGCTGCATTTCTTGATATCGATTGCAAAATTAATTTTTTTTTTTTTAGTGTGTTGATCATCATTTCAGTTTTTTTTTTTTGCAGCTACTGTCTTACTGTAGTTGTGGATGTACCAGCAAACATGTCAGAGACAATACAAAACCTAAAAGAAGTGTTTACATGCCACAGTACTATTAAATTATTCATAATTTTCAAAGGATTCAAAGCCTTTATTTTCATGTGCAACACTAACAAGTTATCAGAGAAGTGAAATTCGTAGTTCTCTGTGTCTCTGCCTAGTGCCAGAATTAACCCATTTACTCTGGTAAGTGCTACCAGACCTGTAGCACATCGGTAAAACCCATCAAAACTTTCCTGGATGTAGATTCATATTTACTATTGTCTCCATGATGTCTTAAAGTACACTTGCTGCTCTCACAGATGTCTTTTCTGTTTTTCAGTGTCAACATATGTATGATGCATTTGTTGAATAATGTCTCATTACCTACACGTTTTTGTGTTTTTGTTTTTTTTGGTAGGCTGCCTTCATATTTCCATCAGATTTGCTTTTTTTGTTTGTTTTTTTTTATCTCGCTGTTGAGTGATGTCTGTCAGCCATGTAAACCGGAGGCGTCTACCAAATCATTGGGGCTTCCTTGCCTGAACAGCACATATTAATGCTGCTCCTAGAATTCTAGTCATATATCCATATACCTCTATTTTCAGGCTTTGGCCCCTGATGATTTGGGTGGGTGTCTGTCACCCCTCATCCTGAGTGAAGCCCCCTCTGTCTCCCCAAACACGCACGCATTCAAACCACGGCGATGACACACCATTCCAACAGTTCTGTTCGAGACCATATGAAATGGGTCAGTGGAAGTCTCTTCATCTCCAGAATCACCATCATGGTTTTAGTGTCTGCATTTATCTGTCAGTCCTATTACTCAACCCCACCTTTCTCCCCCTGACTCCTTGTCTCTGTGAGGAGTCCTGGAGTTTGCTCTTTCTTCTCTGACATGTTGTTTGTGTTGCCAGGCTGGGTTGCTGGGTTGCGAGGCGGTGCTGTCCAGCATGGCCCTGATGCAAGCCAACAACATCCCAGGCCAGAAGAAGATGATGTCAGCCTTGGGTCAGGGGCACAGGGCCAGCCCTGAGAGCCACCAAACACACTCGCAGCACAGCCACAACCACCATGGGCACCAGATTCATCATGGACAACCCCACCACAGCCACATGGGCCATCCTTCAACTGGGAGCTGTCCACCTCTGGTACGAGAGAGGCGCCAACCATAATTCTATGTTAACCACAAGAGCTTCTTTGTTTATTTTGCAACAAGAAAAAATGGTTAAGATCGCTCAGAAAGTCTGTTAATGTGGTGATTTCACAACTTTGCTGTCATGAATGAATTTAACATGGTACTGGACAGATGTTGCAGCAGGTGAAGTAAACTTAACAAATGTAAAACTCATTGGCTGGATAAAGTTAGCTCTCCAGTGGGACTCTAAAGAAAACATACAAGTTCATCGGCAGTTTCATATTTTGATACCTACCGGGCGAGTTACTGACAAATTCTGTAATGTCGATATGCTGTTAATATATGTTAAACAGAGGGCTGAAGGTAAAAGGTTTCCCTGTATGTGTGATTATGTGTTTGGTGCCTGATTAGATGCTAACGTGTACCACAAACCAGTTAGCCAGAATGCACCTTGTATAACAGTACTTTTCTTTTACTTCCTCCAAAAGCTAATCCGAAAAGATGGGGATTATCACTCATCAAGGATGATTGATGGGAAAGACATGCAGGCAAACCAGAACATGCAGCCCAAGAAGAAACACAAAAAATCTGGATCATCCAACAAAGTAAAAGTGGAGGTAAGGATGTTTCAAAAACTCTGTCGAAAATCACAAAGTGCAAAGACACGCTGTTGCCGTTAAGCTCAATTTTATCTAATTGTGTTCATGTTAACAGCATTTACTTCCACAAATTGATATGGACGACGACAGCTCCTTAAAAGTCCAGAAGAACTTCATCTGTGATCATTGCTATGGAGCTTTCAGGAGCAGTTACCACCTCAAGCGACATATTCTTACACATACAGGTGAGCACTTTTTCACCTCAGTATGGCCACTGGACTTTAGCGAGGATCCTCCCTTCTCATCTGCTTGATACAAAAACAAAGAAGTGTTTAATTGGCAACATACAGTTGTTTTAATGTATAAGGTTTTTGTTTGTTTGTTAGGAAATTGTGTTGTTAGTATTTATATAATATACACCTGCGGTTGTTTACAGGGGAAAAGCCATTTGCCTGTGACGCGTGCGACATGCGGTTCATTCAGCGTTACCACCTGGACAGACACAAGAGGGTGCACAGCGGAGAAAAACCATACCAGTGTGATCGCTGTCATCAGGTTCGTTGGCCTTGTTTGGTTTTTTTTCAGCACAACTAAACAACATTATGTGAACTGTTTTGTTTTTTAGTCAGGATTTTTTAGCATTATACAAAAACAACTGTCTGCAACTTTGGCTGAGGCGCACATCTTTTTTTCTTTTTTTTTTTCTCCTTGCTTCAGAACTTTTCACGGACGGACAGGCTGCTGAGACACCGACGACTTTGTACAGTTGGGATGAGCAAAGAGGAAAGCCAGTACTCCCAGGATGCATCTGGCCACCCAGCTTCCTGGAGCCCCTTACAGCCTTCGAACACCCGTCTGACTGTCTGACCCTCAGCTTCCTATAGAGACCCAACAAACAGCAGCAGCCTGCAGCTCAGTAACGCCACACACTGGAGTTATGACCTGAACAGAGCCTAGCCCAAACACAACCAAACTTTAGTTTGCTCTTGCCAGCTCATTCATAGAGCTTGATAGTGGATTTCTGTGCTTTTTTAACCTACTGTTACATTCATGAAACAGACAAATGGGGATGGACTAGTTTACAATCTTGGACAACAGGTCATGGTGTTATGGCAATAACTGAACTGGAAAAATACACACATCTCCTGTTTTTTGAAAGGTTGCAAGTATTTTTTGGTATCGCTGACCAGAGATTACAAGTATTTTTTGATTGCCTGGACAGCCAGTTCATTGTGCAGCAGCTCTCCGATTTCCTTTTGACCTGCAATCAACCCCATCTCAAGCTATTGTTACACACGGACATTTCACCAAAGGACACCTACACAAAATCATGTAGCATATTAGTGTAACGTCCGCCTCGTTTTGTGTTTCTTATGCTACTAATCATGTACCAGCTACTGCTGATAAGCCGAAGGTCGCAGCCAGCTTGCGGCGTGTGTGCCGCCTCAACGACATAATCATCCATTTCTTAAACACTGTAGGTAAATTTAATGTATTTTTGAAAGACGCTGATCTGAAAGTGGGTCTTTGCAGCTTTGTTCATTTTTACTTCGTATACAAGATTGCCTTTTTTTTTTTTTTCCAACACACAAGTCTTAAATTGATTGTAACAATTTCTTATCTGCTATTCGTCCTGCTGCTGCGACGACACGTGCAGCCCTGTTGCTGATGTGTAGAAATCGACTGAAAAACACTAAGGGTTAACTAGATGCTCCTTAAATGTTAATTTTTCAACTAATGCTGGTAGTTGTGTAGCGACTGTTGGCACACACATTCACAGTTTTCACCTTGTTTTAAAGGGGTTTAGTCCTGACTGTTGATACAGTGGAAGGCTGACAGGGGTTTTTTTAGGAGCCCAGGTTTTTTGAAACTCTTAAACATCAAACTTTTTCCTAATATCATATGGGTGTAAGAATCACCAGTCCATTGGAAAAATTTCCTGAAGTGCTTCTGTGAAAAGACCCTCCATAAACATCCACTGTGTTTACGGTCTCTTATCCTAGAAACTACAGTATTGTTTGTTTGTTTTTATTTCCTGTTCTGTGATCATAGATTCTTCTGACTGATTTTCATCCCTTCAAAAGTGTTTTTTGGTCAAATATCTGAAATCCTTAGGTTTACGTGAAGGTTACTGAAATTTCATTTATCTGTGAAACCTTTCAGAAGTCTGTTTCCAAGTCACTGGATCAGACTTCTCCTTGGGCTATTTTTTTTTTTTTGTCACTGGAGGTACTTTAGAAATGTTCTTGACTCTTGACATGTTTCATTCAGTCCTTGTTTAAGAATTAATTCTCCAGAAAAAAGGAAAACAAATTGGCTCGTCCGCAGATTTAAAGTGCAGACCTCTGTCTTTGCCTGACTGAACGTGATCTGAATCCAGTGCCATGTCGTTTCATCTCAAGTTTAACCTTGGACATCTTCAGTGAAGATGACTAATCGGACTTTGTGGAAAGGGAACTACAAGGTCTGCGAGGTCTTTTGTATTATGATAAATGGCAGCACACTAAGTTCAGGTCTGTACGTGGTTAAATTAGTCTGTAACCACTGGACTGAAGATGTTAGTTCAGTTGTAGAAGAACACATGAGTTTTAACAGTTATTTAGACTGAAATGTTTCAAAGTAGACATGTAGTTCAGTTCTGTGCTGTCAGACTTTTAGATTATGTGAGAGGAGTTTGGGGCCCATCACTGTCTACTGTTCATGAAGTTAATATATATTTAAGTTGTACTAGGGGTAGAAAATAGTGCGTATGGGACCTGAACTCCAATGGCAAATCAGAGTTTTTACAAAGCTGTAATCCTTAGTCTGATCATTTGTTATGACAGCTGAAGAGGCCACAGTAAGTCATTGTTCAACTTACTGTGAGGAGAAAAGTCAAACTCTCCACTCTTGCCCTTTTAGTATAGCAGCCATGATTAGTTAGGATGTTCATTTTTTTCTTTTTTTTTTAATTTGCATGTCTTTGTTGGAGGATCTTGTATGCGTTTTGTTTTGTTAAAAACAGATTTTTTTTTAATGTAAGCCCCAACAATTTTGTCATGTCAGGAGTAAAGTGAAGTCAGTGTTGACTCAGTCACACTGGACTAAATGGAGTTTAAGGGCCCCAAGTCACAATAAAGGTGTTGATTTTTAAACACTGCATGTTGTTCATATAATGTAGAACAAGGTTTCTTTAGTGATATTCAACAAGTCAAATTTGCTTTTTTAAAATTGGTTTTCTAGAACATCAGACTGATAGATTTACTCCATGTTCAGGGAAGTGTTCACTGTGAAATAGTCTTAAATTACTGTGCATGGCATATCTATTGAAAATAAGCAATACATCAGTTATGTCAGCAGGTGGCAGCCATGACCATGTGAGGGTGACTTTTCTCCATAGCACTGTAATGAAGATTTTTAAAAAATGTGTATATATAAAAAAAAAAAAAAACAATGTTTGACACCAATTGGTGGAAATTCAAAATGATCACACAGTGCTTACAGGGATTTATTATGAAAGGAAATTGCACCAAAAAATTATAAATCCTCATGCCAGAGTCTTACAACAAAGTTTTTTTGATTACAATAATGCAGCTGAGAAAATCCAACCAGGAAACACTTGTAATTAATATTATTCGTTTCATCACCAAGCAGAACTTCTAATATCATTTTGTCCTGTTATTAGGTTCATACAAAATCTTGACTACACAAAGAAAGTGTGTCTCTTTACAACCTTTCTTGACACTAAGAACCTGATGTTAGATGCACTATTTTAAACTGAGTGCTCTGTAGTTTCTAAGGGCCTTTTTTTCAGTCGTCACTGAAGCCAAGACAAGAAATGCTCAATGATTTGATATCATGAGCTGGAGGTGGTTGGCATACAAACACATGGGATGGTGCCTCTCACAAAGTGGAGCTTGCAAATAAATCAAAAATAAATAAATAAATCACCACAATGGCATTTTATAAAATCCTAAAAACGTGTTCAAATCTGCAGTGGAGGAATGTAAAATACACCGCAGTCAGTCTCAGAGATAATTTGTTTCGAATGTTTCTGTTAAGAAATATTATTGTCAAAGTGGGCAATCAAACAGACATAACCGTCTGCATGTAGCCATAGCTGATACCCACATTGTTCAGAGGAGGAAAGAATTTCTTCAAGTACATTGCCCTGTAATTCTGCGTCGGTAGGTATTGCCACATCACTCGTACATTAGGAAGTGCAGATCATACCCTTTAGCACCTTCCTCTTGCTATTGACCAGTTCTTTAATTACAGCATTAGGATAGGCAGGATGAGATCAGCCTGAAGGCTGCTGGGAGTGTGCGCTTTCCCCCATGGGAGACATCCCCTCCCTCTGCAGTCTGATTTACAGCACCCACAGGCCCCCGGCACTTAACAATGGACCTCCTTAAGTGAGGTAGATGGGGAGGAGATCAGTGAGGGGGAGATAACACTCCATCTTCATGCACAAAGTGCTGAAATCATCCAGGTTCGAAATCATCTCTGCGAGACAGACTGATCATGGAGTCAGTCCAGAGGTAAAGTGTGGGAGTGCTGCCTCGTCCTCAGTCTGGCTCACTTTATCAGGGAGGAGAGCTCTCTCTAAGACTGATAGCCGGCTCTCTACATGCTCACCTCTCCTGTCAGAGGGATACAAAAAATAGGTCTTCCACACAGAAATTTCCCCAACAACCAGTAAATCTCAGCTGACTGTGCATACTGTGGCTCTGTCAACATATGGGTGGTTCAGAGGTTTACAAAAACAAGTGCTCAGCAGCAGAAACGTTCCGTCTCCTACAAATGTTTGGTTGCCCCCTGATCAAACCCATCACGGGCTCACTGCAAATGATTGAAACCCCCCCAACAATAGCTCTTGCTATCTCCTTCTCCCCGAGGTGTGGGAGAGCCTTTTCATCTCAGGCTTTGATTAATAAAGGAATCGCTGGTTGGTTGAAAGCAGCGTTCTGCCCCCTCCGAACATCCATCATGCCCGTGACAGCCCACCTCTCTGTGTTAATTAGCGGTGATATTTAAGCTGTCTGAGGTGTTCCATGGCCGTCAGCATGGTGGTGCTGCTCATCATTAAAATTTCAATTCCTCTGTCCGGGTTACTCCCATTCTCCTCGACACCTCAGTGAACAGGTCCTTAAACATTCACACAGGAGCACGAATCGAGCGCGGATCGCAGAAACATAAAGCGGGAATCGGGAAATTCAACAAATTATCCGTGAGCACGTCTCTGTTGGTGCACTCTGTCTTTTTCATGCATTTTAATGTTAAACCAACTTTGTCAGCATGAAAGTAAAAACATCAATTTGACTTATCACACTTGCTCAATAATCATTTGATATTACGTGAAAGAATTTGCCATAAATCTAAAGTTCCCATCAAACAATGAGCGGAGAAAATGTGAACATATTACTTATTAATGATTACCAAATATTGTAATATTCTCAAATACTAGGGGCTATTATTCAGAGATAAATTATGTATGTGGCTGAATCTTGGTCTATGTTATAACCAAAAGGCATCATGCACCAAAATGAGATTTTTAGTGGTGCGAAATGAAAGTCTTAGCAAACGGCAGCCATTTTACACCAATCTGACATGGACAAAATGGCTTCCAAAGTGTACACAAAGTTGGTGTATAAGCATTGTCTACAAAATCTTGTAAATTTATGGAATTTACCAAGACGATGTCTGCCAGCCACCTGCTTCACAAAGCGTCTCTGATGGGAACGTTCAGTCACGTCATGCTTCAAAGTGTCCCACATTCAGACGTCTGCCACCACTTTTCTAATTAGTGTAACTCAACAAGATTAATTAGCCTCTGCATATCATTCCCAGTACTCAAAAAAGAAAAAAAAGTAACACAGAGGAGAAGAGGAGCGAAAGCTATCACCCATTTGAGGGGTAACAAGGGAAAGGTTTGAATTCGGCCTACTTGCATTTTGATACAGTCCAATCATGAATATTCATACATGAATGTGAACCTCAAGTGGAATCAGAACTCACCAGATGAATTTACAAAATTAACTTTTTGCTCTTTTAATGAAGAGAATGTGACGGTTGAGAGAAAGAAAGAGAGAAACTGGATAAGAGGTTTCAGATGATGGGAATAAAAAGAACATTTTTAACAAATTTGGCGTTTTTAAGTTGAATTTTCTGCAGGGTGGTGCAGTTGGTAGCACTGTTGCCTCGCAGCAAGAAGGTTGCCGGTTCGCGTCCTGGTGGGGGCACCGGGATCTTTCTGCGTGGAGTTTGCATGTTCTCCCCGTGCAGCGTGGGTTCTCCGGCTTCCTCCCACACAGTCCAGAAACATGTTGTCTCTACGTGTGGCCCTGTGATAGACTGGTGACCTGTCCAGGGTGTCCCCTGCCTTCACCCTAAGTCAGCTGGGATAGACTCCAGCCCCCCACGACCCTAATGAGGATTAAGCGGTGTATAGAAAATGGATGGATGGAAGTTGAATTTTATCACGCAGCTTCAGATTCAGGGTCCTGGTGATGTCCTCGGCTTACTGAGCAGTTGAACAGAGCAACATCACTGTCAAGAAAGTATTTCTGATTCTGGATGTTATTTGTAAAACCTATGCTTTTCCTGCAGTGACAGAACAAAATATCTGCTGCGAAAAAGGTGATTTCATAACTTTCGTCTGATTTCCTAACACGGCCACCAACATGACCTAAAAGGCAAATGTGAGAGTGCAGAGATGATTTTAAAGAAGTATTTATCAAAATGTTCTGCTGCCATCTCACAAATGCATATAGTGCTTGCAAAGGAGGGAGAGAGGCCCAGATGCTGCTGAGCACCAGGGCATCTTGTGCTACTACTTTCCCCTCTGCTACGGGTCGGCAGTATGCAGATGCATTCGCTAAGATCAAGTTCAGTAGTGCAGGACCTTGTTGCTGAGATTTATATGACCTAAGAGACATCCACATTCCCCTTGACAGGATGGGTACCGATTGTGTAAGAAGCACTTTCTTACAGAGGTGCATTTAGCTTCAACAGATAGATTAACATGCCTTGGCCTCGTGCCACCCTATTAATCTACAGCTTGTTGGGACACGTTTGGAGTGAGCTGTTGGAAAGCATCACCTCAGACGTCAGTGGTTTGCTTGCCTTCTAATCTTACAGGATTCTCTGAGTCAGTGAGTAAAATGGACAACACACTTTTACTTTCACACAAACTGCTTTATAATCATTTATAGTAGGCAAGAAGACACTGCTGTTAAACTTTTATATAGTTTACAGCCACACATTGTCATCCACTGCACAGCTATACAGGCTTTGTTGCTGACACCATATGGTGATTATTGCAAACAAACACACAGCAGAGCAGAGCGAATCCACAGCTTTATTCACAGTTGCCTCTCACAATAAAAGATATAAAGATAAATCTCATTATTTGGCTGCTGAGTGGTTTCTTACACATATTGGAACAGATTCACATGTAGGTGATTTAGTGAAACTGAAGCTGGTCTGTAGTCATTTTCAATACATATTTTATACAGATAAAGCCACTTTTGGCCATGCTAGTGGTTCTACTGCTAGCAGTGTCAGTCCATGTCTTTGGCTCAGAAGAAATATTTCAACAGCATGAAATTTTACATTTATGCTCCATGGAGGATGAATCCTAAAGACTTCCCCCGACTTTTCCTCCAGCGCTATCAGTCATAAGTTAACATCTGCTGGATGGATTGGCACAACATTTGTTTCAGATATCCATGTTGCCCAGACACTGTATCCTACTGAGTCTTGTGATCTCTACACACTTCCTCTAATACTGCCCTCGGACTTTTGCTTTGAGTGAAATGTCTCAACAACTATTTGATGGATTGCCATGAAATCTGGTACAGACGTTCGTGTCCCCTTTATAATGAAATATACCAACTTTCGTAATACCCTGACAGTGCATGCTGACAATTAGTTTAGCAGTTCCCTTAAAGGACTGCTGTGCTTGAGTATATTCTCATACAGCTGCGTGGCTATAGAGTCTAAGCATTGCTATTAATAATTAGAACACGATGAGAAGGTGTCAACATTGTTATCTGTCTTGTTTTAGAACATCACCTTTTCCTTCATTGTAAAGTCTACATTTGGGCTTCAGAGTGGCAAGATGTTCACTGCCCTGTGGAAAGATACAGTATAC